ACACGCACACACACACCACACACACACACACACACACACACACACACACACACACACACACACACAGACAGACATGCACCTTACACGCAGCGTTGCGCCACCACTGCTCGGTGACGTTCACGCGCTCCTGACGGGGATGACTATGGAGCAGCAGGTGAGAGCACCATCCGCCTTCTGCGCTTCAAAGTTCTCAACAAAGATGGGCCGCACTTCCCCCGACGGGCCTTTGCACAACCGTGAGAGGCTATCGTCGCCACGCTGTGTGTGATACAAACAATCGCCTATGCGGAGAATGTTCGCGGCATTCAAAGCCGTGAAGACCACGGGTGGGACCGCCAGCCCACGCTCTTCCAGCGATGCGGTGATGGATGCCCACGCACTGCGCCCGTCGTCCGTGTCCGCGGCAACAAACCCGAGATCAGGGCCCGCCCACGTCACGACCGACTTGAGGTGCAACGAGTTTGCACCTAGGTGGATGGGGACGACCCGGAAACTCCCAGTACCATGCACGCCAGTCTCTCGCTCAAAGGCCGCCTGCAATGCGCGGTGGCCCAGCTCGTTGGTTCGTGTGGACACGCCGACGTACATGGCGTTGTCCGTGGTGAGGACGTCCCCGCCGTCGCAGGTAGCATCTGGCCACCGCTCACGCATTACGTGAATCGTATGCAGATCCGCGACCTCACTGTGCTGCTGTTGCTGTTGCTGCTGCTGTTGCTGCTGCTGTTGCTGCTGCTGTTGTTGTTGTGCCTTTGTCTCTTCCAATAGTTTGGTGACGGCGGCCAGCGTGGCCGCCTCCTCGCCCTTTCTCGAATCCGCCCCAGGGTTGGTGATGACGCAGGTGCCGTTGGCGACCACGGCCGTGTCCTCGATGAACATGCAGTCTGGAAACCGCTCGTCTGCGTCCAGCTCAACGACGCGCGCCACGTGTGGGTTGAGCCGCAGCTGCTCCACATACGCTGCATGCTCCGTCACTGCCCTGTCCACATCAATCCTCAATGCCTCCGCCGCATCCTCGTCGTTCGTGGCGTTGCTGCTCGCGTAGTGCTGCAACGCCTCTGTAAATGACCTTGGCACGCGCCGCGTCAAGCACACCACCCGTCTCATCATTGTGTGTGTGTGTGTGTGTGTGTTTGGAGGGGGGGATCGACTGATCGAGTGAGTGAGCAGCAACACAGACGGACGTGTGTGATGTGTGTGATGATTGTTGCTTCACTTCTTTGAGTCCTTTCCCACCAAAGTTTGGACGATCTGTTGGCATCGTTCATAATTATCGCACCAGCAGCCGCAACCAACAACAACTTTTTTTTGACGAGGCAACAGCACAGCCTGCGCTCGCACCACAAACACAAACATAACCCCCCGCCCCCCCCCCCTCCTCATCTCATCTCATCTCAGCTCAGCTCACCTCGCCTATCGTGCAAGCATGGGGGACAGCCAGGATCTACACCACACGCCGTCGCTACACGCAAGCGATGCGGTGCCCACAGCTGAAGCACCAGTGCAGGGAAAACCGCCGCCGCTTCTGCAGCAGCATTTGCAGCCACCGCAGTCTGCTGTGCCGGGGCTCTTTGATGCAGACACGGTGGATGCGCCCATGTCGGCTTCGTCAGAGGAGCGCGCGAGAACCACGCTCTTCAACACCATCGCCAACGCAAACATCAGCCCTCCACCGTCCTCATCGGCCCTTGCCAGCTCCGACTTTGAGGCTCCCGACAGCGAGCAGCTCACGCCGCTTTCGCCGCTTTCGCCGCCCGAAACCACAACTGCTGCAGCCACACCCGCGGAGGTGACGACGGCTGAGCAGCCCAAAGCGACCCCAAGCACGGCACACGCAGCGCAGCAAAACGGCTCGGGCATCCTCAAAGCACGCGGCTCGCCATCGCCTCCTCGTCGTCGCAACGCCTCGGTGAGCGGGAATGGTGCTGCTGATGGCGATGCGTGCTGGTGATAGGTGATAGTGACGATGGTATTGATGCATGGTGGTGTTAGTGATGATGAAGCAGTGTGCGATACACATGTGGGTTGCTTGTGTTGCAGTGAGCACAGCAGCGTGTAGCTGTTGTTGGTGCACTTTGAGCAAGCCCCTTGCACTGCTTTTTTGATACATGTTCGTCAACTGCGTACTCGTACCAAACGGCACAACATTCGCTTGATCTCCTGCTTGTGCTTCTTCTCCCTCTGCCGCATGACATCATTCCTCACACGCTACTCGTGGTTGAATGTTGCGCTGCCTTGGCTCACCACAGAACGTAAGCTTCTCGCTCAAACCGACGCTGGTCACGGACACATCCCCCACCGCAGCACACTCCACGTCACACTCCTCCTCCTCCTCCTCCTCGTCTCCTTCGTCTGCCACACCGCCTGCGCAACGGCCAGGCTCGCAGTCGCCACCATCGCCACCGTCACCGCCCTCTCCGTCCCACGATGAGGCCTCCTCCGCATCCCACGATGGCCGCTGGGCAAACATGCGCGCGCGGTTCAGCCCGTGGAACCGGCTGCTGTTTGCACTTGGTCGACAGCCCGCCGTGCGCCCGCAGGAGTCGCTCGAGGACGACGAGTACGAGTATGGAGATGACTATGACGATGAGGACGGCGATGAGGAGAGTGGAGGCGACTCCCAAGGCGGTAAGGATTTTTTTTGGACGACGCGCGACGGATGGATGCGTGCTGTGTGCGATTGTGACTGTGTGTGTGTGTGTGTGATTTTGATTGTACGTGTGATTGTGATTGTGCGCGCGCACTTTTTGTGTGTTCTGTGTGGTTGGAGGCACTCCCTCCTGTTTCTTGCAAGTGCCAATCGCCATGTTGACTTCAGAAGCACACGCACGATACACACACACAAACACACGCACATACACACACGCACATACACACACACACACTGACACATACACTCACTCACTGACACAAACACTCACGCACTGACTCGCTCCTGTGTTGTGTTCTCTACAACAACTAACATGCGCAGGCGACAGTGCCGGGAGCGATGGTGCACTTGGCACGAGCTACGGCAACGACGTGCAGCTGTGCCCGCACACGCAGCAGCACACCGTGGATCTGTGCGCACTCCCACCAGCTAACGGCACCACCACCACCACCACCACCACCAGCAGCGGCAGTGCTAATGGCAATGGCAATGGAGGTGTGGAGGACCACCAAGCCCATGCACTGCATGCACATGCACGAGGCAGCGTCGAGTTTGTGGGGCACCAGGGCAGCAGGCGCAAGTGAGGCAACTGTGTTGTGTTCGCAGTGGGGCGTCGCAAGGACGATGATGGGTTTATTCTGCTGCATGTTGCCTCCCTGTCTTTTGAGGCCATCACACCACATGAGGAGTGACCACAATGACGACACCGCATATCACACCACATCGCACCACACACACGCACACACACATGCACACACACGACACACACACACACACACACACACACACACACACACACACACACACACACACACACACACACACACACACACACACACACACACACACACTCACACACCGTGTGACACCCCCCCCCCCAATCACGACCAGGAAGAACCAGAACCTGAAGCGGCGGCGGCGGCGGAGTCGGATGAACATGCTGCCGAAGCACACCGTCGGGCTCGACTGGATGCAGGTCATGCGCACGCGCACGCAACTCCTCAACCAGCAGTTCTCTGCAAAGTAAGCGCGCATGTGTTGTGTGTGTGTGTTTGTGTGTGTGTGCGTGTGTGTATTTGTGTGCGAACGTGTGTACATGTAGAAGAGCGTGTTGGGGGGGGGGGCATCGTGTGTCTTGGTGCTGATGTTTCCCGTGTTATTGTTGTCTTACACACACACACGCACATACACACACGCACATACACACACGCACACACACACACACACACACACACACACACACACACACACACACACACACACACACACACACACACACACACACACACACACACACACACACACACACACACACACACACACCACATGCGTTATTCCCCTCTTCACCGAAATCAATCACCACCACAACTCATGTCATCAACCACCACCACCACCACCGCTTCGCTTGAACCAGCATGAACCTTGTGTTCGTTGCGCTTGAGTCGTCGTGGGTGTATCTTGCGCTGTTTTATTTCGCAGGCGTGTTTCTTGCCGCCACCATCCTCGCTGCGCTGTTCTACGCCTGCGAGTGCCGGGAGTCCCTCGACTTTGGACGCGTGAGTACGTGTGTGTGTGAGTGAGTGTGAGTGTGTGTGTGTGTGAGTGTGTGTGTGTGTGTGAGTGTGAGTGTGTGTGTGTGTGCGTGGGAGTGTGTGTGTGTGTGCGTGTTTGTTAGTGAGTGGGTACATCTGTGTATATGAGCGGGCTGTGCTACTGTCGTCCTCGGTTTAACGGCTCATACCAGTGTGACCCTTCACTTCCGTGTCATCGCCACCACAACAGGTGCTCCTCCTCGTTGCCCAGCAGATCATGACGGGCCCCGCCTTCATCGAATCTGGCGACATTGGTGAGGCGATGATGATGATGATTCATGGTGGTTGTGGTGATGATGATGATGATGATGATGATGATGATGATGATGATCGTTGATGTTGTTACAGACGAGTTGGTTGCCTCAATGTGCGTTCGTCACCTCTCATCAAGCACTCATCGTTTTCCTCCCCACCTTCCCCAACACATGCACGCACAAACTCGACATCGTCTTCAGCAACCCCCGACCTCTCCCACGGCTGTATCATCCTTGGGTTTCTCAGCTCAACCACAACAATCATCTTCCAGGTGCGTGCGTGCGTGCGTGCGTGTGTGCGCCTGCTGTGCGTGCGTGTGTGTGTGTGATGCGAACTGAATGCCGTGAAAAGTGAAGTTTCGTTGCCTTTGTTGATGTGTGAACGAGGCATATAGTTCAACACTTGGTAGCACATCATGTGCCATGTATCGTGGATATGACATGGGTCCCATCATGTTGACAGTTTCCTATCACCCCCCACATGCCATCACCCTGACGCCGCCACACACCACATCGTGTTCATCGGCCCTTTTCCTTTCTCTCCCTCACACCCATTGTTCCGTGCTGCATCCACGCCAGGCGTTTTTGTTGTCGATGGCGGTGCGCAAACTGATGAAACCCAGGACGGCCATTACGTTCACGCGCAAGCTCGTCGTCAACACCCGTGATGGTGTCCCGTGCCTGCAGGCACGCATCCTCAACCTCAGGGGGAACCTCATCTCAGATGTGCAGGTGAGTATGCGTGCAAGTTTGTGTGTGTATGTGTGCGTGTGTGCATGTGTGTGCATGTGTGTGCATGTGTGTGCATGTGTGCATGTGTGTGCATGTGTGTATGTGTGTGTGTGTGTGCGCGTGTTTGAACTGAGGTGTGAGCTCACTGTGTGCATGTTTGCGAACCTGATGGGACAACACGTGCGGCCATTGAAGCATACGCACTGCTCGTGTCATGCCACGTACTCACTGCTGTCTTGCCATCGCCACACCTGCCATTTCAGGTGAATGCGACGCGGTCACGCCGTGTGCGCACGCGCGAGGGCGAGAACTACTACAAGATTGAAAAGCTCAAATTCGAAGGACCACACATGATGAAGTTTCCTGGTGGGTCATACGAGGAAGGCTGTTGCGCTCGGAATGTGGTGTTATGGCGTGCTGACTTGTTGGCAATGCACACACGTTGCACTGACGGACAATGGACGGAGAGGAGCTTGTATGCTTGTGTGCTTGTGTGCTTGTTTGCTTGTGTGCTTGCGTGCTTGTGCAATGCGTGTCATCACGCTTGTTGTCCACGCTCACGCCGACGTACACCAACGTATCCATGCTTACAGGCATTTTCACCCATCGCATCGACGAAAGCAGCCCCCTGTACGAGGAGTTTAGCAAGAAGAGCTTCGTTGGAGGTGCGTGAAGTGTGCATGCCATCACTGCTGCGTGCTCCTCGCTGCATGTGCTTGTGACTGCATGTGGATATCGATTGCGCCAGAATCTGCTATTCTTTTCTTGCGATTTCTGCTGGCTGTTGCTTGCAAGCAAGCAAATACGGCGACGACAATCATGTTGTATCACCACCATGTAATGCGTCAACTCTGCTGCGTGCCTGCAGGCTTTGTGTGGGTGGAGTTCACAGGATATGACCACGTGTTGACGGAGCAGGTGCATCAGCTGTGGCTGTTTGAACTTCCCGGCGACGTCATGCCGTGTAGCCGCTTTGCCGACATGGTGGTCAAAGGTGCGTGCAAGTGCTTGTGCGTGCAAGTGCTTGTGAGTGCGTTTGCATGTGCATGAGCACGCGTGTATGGAAATGAGCACGCGTGTTCGTGAGTGCACTTTGTGTGTGATCGAGTAAGTGCGCCACCTTACCCAATTCTGCATGCCCATTTCAACCTGCAACAATCCACAACAGGCACAACGGAGGCCATCACCGATGGCACATACCGCATGATTATCAACATGGCAAACTTCAACAAGATTGTTCGCCTTCACTCCAACTCACAGTACGCAAACTTGATTTTGAATGGGTGGCAGGCATCTGCTTCACCATACACAACAATTAAAAGGGCACACACAATCACGCATTCGCACGCACACACACACATACACACACACGCACACACACACACACGCGCGCGCACACACACACACACACACACTCTCTCTTTCTCTTTCTCTCTCTCTCTCTCTCTCTCTCTCTCTCTCTCTCTCTCTCTTTCTCTCTCTGTCTCTGTCTCTCTCTCTATCTCTCTCTCTCACACACACACACACACCGTGTAGGTGTTGTAAGCTGTGCCGGACTGGGTGTCCATTTGGCAGCCAGGCACAGCGGCGAGCAACCCTCGGCGAACGGGATGCAGGTGCACTCTCACGGGGCACACCGAGGAACGAAGAAGCAGCTCCTGATGAGAAGAAGCACTGAGCTGAGCAGCACAAGTGAACAGTCGCCTGATCTCTTATCATGTGCATGTGAGTGCAAGCGTTTTCACAGCGTAAGATGTGTTGTGTGGTGTGTCAACATAACTTAATGTCATGTCACACAAGGTTGGTGCATATGTATGGTTTTTTTCATGTTGGTCTGCACATGAATGGCGGCGTTGTAACGTGCAAGGGTGTCGTTGTGCCGGGAATTTGCATTCCACAACAACGTGTCTGCTGCTGTTTCAACAATGTGTGCTTGCACGTGGTGTTGTTCTCATGCAATATGCTGCGTGGAAGGTTTTATTTGATTCCTTTCCCCCTCTCTTGTTTTGCTGAAGTGAACATAAAAGGGACGCACTGGGGGCAGTGCTTTGAACGCAAAGATGACATATGTGCAACATAAAAGTAAGCAAGGTTAAGAGCTCCTTGATGTCACATTGAATTCTCGAAAGAGTGAAGTTGCGCAACCGACATGAAGTCACGGCTGCATGCCAACGAGCGGCCAAGCATGAGGAACGGGCGAAAGTGGGGATGGGGGACAGGAAAAGAAACAAAACGAGGCAAACCAACGCAACACACACACACACACACACACACACACACACACACACACACACACACACACACACACACACACACACACACACACACACACACACACACACACACACACAGAATCAGGCGCACCAGGAATCGGTGCAGCGTGGAGGACAATTCACCGTGGTGACGCCAGTGTTTGATGGAGGGCATAAACAAGAGCCCAGTCCTTGGCAGTCAATGTTGAATAGCTGATCATTCCACCGCAGGTCAATTTCGCCATTAATGGCCGTCACGCCACTGAAGTCAATTGACGTCAACAGGTTCATGCTAACGTTCACCATGCCATCGACAGCCGTCACCATCTGCAAGTCGAAACGTGTGAGCATATTGTCGCTCAGATCGAGGGGCCCGTCGATGCTCGACACGCGTCCAAGGTCCACCGACGTCAGGGCCGCATGCACGCTCAACATTGTCAGCGAGCCGAGGTCGCCAAAGTTGAGGTCGCTGAGATTCGGGTTGTTGCTCAGGTCAAGCTCGCTGACGCTTGTCACCGCACCCATGTGCAGCGCTATGAGCTGGTTGTCGCTCAGATAGACGGCGCCAATGCTTGTGAGCGAGGGGTACTGGCTCAAATCAAGGGCAGTCAAGTTGTTGAATCTGAGGTCGAGTTCCTCGGGGATGCTCTCAAGTCCAGCAAAGTCGACAGATAGGAGCTGGTTGTGGCGCAGCTCAACAGAACGGGTCACCGCAGTCACGTCCCCAAAGGACACAGCTGTCACCGGGCTGTACGATACAAACAGGCTGTAGATGGAGGTCATGTGCCCAAGGTCCACGCTGGTGAGGTCCGTGTGCGACAGAATAATGTTTGAGGAAATGCTGGCCGAACCGAAATTAATGTACTTGAGGGCGCAAAACCGCACGAGAAGACTGCTCTGCATTCGCCCGAGCCCGCCAAGGTCCACTGACGTCAGCCCTGGGTTGTATTCGATGGTCAGGTACCCCATTCTCGAAACACCAGACACGTTCACAAATCTCAGGTCGTTGCTGCTGAAGTCCAGGGGCCGGAGGATGGTGGGTGGGCCAACAATGTGCAGGCCCTTGAGGTCTCGCTCGGAGAAATCAAGAATGTCATAGCTGTCCACCGCTCCAAGCGCACCAAAATCAAACGTTGTTAGGAGGGGATTGTCGTCAAGCTGGAGGAAAGGAAGGTACGCGTCAACAACGTTGCCAAAGTTGATGGAGGTGAGCTGATTGCTGTACAAAACAAAGTTGTTGGAAATCTTGGTTAGCCGGCCAAAGTCAAAGCGGGTGAGTCGGTTCCGGCTCAAGTACACGGAGGAACCAATGCTGGTGATTTCACCAAAGTCGATGGAGCTGAGCTGGTTGTAGCGCAAGTCGAGGAAACCAGGTATTGTGGTCAGTCGCCCAAAGTTGATGTGCGTCAGCTTGCTGCGCACGGTGACGCTGAAGCTGTAGGACGTGAGTTGTCCAAAGTCCAGCACGGCCAGGTTGGGGCAATCGTCGACTTTGAATCTGTGCAGACTCGTGATCGCGCCAAAGTTCAAGGACGTCAGGTTCTCGTTGTCCGATATGTACAGGTCGGTGAGGTCGACTGTTGTGTTTTCAAACGAGACGGTTGTGAAGGAGTTGCCGCTAAGATCGAGGGATGACATAACGTTCAGGTTGCCCAACTCAATCGCCGTCAAGCGGTTACCGCGTAGGTTAACGTACCCCTCGACGGAGCGAATGTTACCGAAGTTTAGCCTGGGCAAGCTGTTGTCTCTCAAGTCGAGGTTGCCCGAAACCGTTTCAAGCTGCCGAAAGTCCACGTGCGTCAAGCTGTTGCCGCCCAGGTTCACACTGCTAAGTGCAGTCAACAACCCAAAGTTCATTGTCCGCAGCCGCGTGTTGTCGGTGACTGTGACCGATAGCGCAGAAGACAGTTGCCGCAGGTCGAGTGACGTGAGCTTGGTCTCGGAGACGCGGAAGTACCCAGTCTCAGTCACGTTGCGCAGGTTCAGGTATGCCAAGGAGGGTAGCACGAGCGATATGGGGATGTTTGTCAAGGCACCCATGTCCAGAGCAATCAGGGATGGGGCCGAGAATGTCAAGCGCTCAATCTTCGTCACGCCCCCAAACGTCAGCGTTGTCAGGTTGTTGTTTGACAGGTCAGCTTCGTAAATGTATCCAACGTTGTTGAAGTCGAGCGATGTGATTTCATTGTTGTCAATGTTGAGAGTCCTGATGTACGTTGTTTCGTTGGCAAAGCGCAGGGAGCGCAGCATGTTCCCTGATAGTTCGATGGTGAGAGAGCCGGCTCTGGGAAGATGAAGCGACGCCAGCTTGTTGTTGGACAGGTCGAGTGTCAGCGACCGCGACGCGCCCCGCACAGAGCTCAAGTCCACGAAAGTGAGGTTGTTGTTGGGAGCACGAAGCATGGAGATGGAAGTGAGGGACCCAAACTCGAGGGAGGTGAGCATGTTGTCCGAGAAATCAATGCTCAGCGCAGACCGGAGGCCGCGAAGGTTGACGCGTGTGAGGCTCGCGTGCACTTCAAAGTGGCGCTTGAACGCCAGCAGCTGACCAAAGTCGAGCACGGCCAGGTCGGGGTTGTCTGTCAAGTCGATCGTTCCCGCAATCGAGGTGACATTGCCCAAGGAAACCGAGGCGAGGCTGTTGCCCTTGACCAGGAAGTCATCAGGCAGCGACGTGACACCGCGCAGATCAACGGTCGTGAGGCGATTGTAGCTCAGATCCACAACCCCCGCCACAGAAACGAGGCTGCCAAAGTTGATGCGCGTGAGGTACTGCTTAGAAAAGGCGAGGGTTTCCAGGCTTGTCACATGCCCAAGATCGAGTAGCTGCAGCGAGTGCTCGCTGAGGCGGAGGGAGCCCCCCAGCTCGATCAGGGCGCCAAGCCGGAGCTCTCTGATGGGGGTATGTCTCAGGTCAATGTCCCTACCAACGTGCGTGAGCGAGCCAAAGGAAAGGGCACCAATCTGGTTGTAAGCAAGCAAAAGGTTACGGCCAATGCTCTTCAGCTTGCCCAGATCAAGGTATGTGAGGTCGTTCCCGGCCAGGTTGAGGTCTTCTGCGATGTGGGTCAGGTTTACGAATGAGATGGAGGGGAGGTGGTCGAATGTCAGCGTCAGGTGACGATCGACGCGTTCCAGGCCGCCAAGGTCAAGGGAGTTGAGCTCGTTGCCCGTCAGGTACAAGAAGCCAGCAACATGCTTGACACCCTCCATGTGGAAGGTGGAGCCGGTGGAGATTTCGATGGAGGCCTGCATGGTGGGGCTACCAGACGTCACATACGTCACGACGTTGTTGGAGAGTGTAATCTTGTCGCCCACAAAGGACAGCTGGCCAAAGTGAACGGTGTGAATGTTGTTGTCAGCCATGTTCAGGTACCCGTCGATGCTGGTGAGGCTCTCAAAGGTGACCATCGTGAGGAAGTTGCGGGACAACCGAATGCCACCTCCGGTAACCCTCTGCAGACGAGGAAAGTGGATGGCGCGCAGTTTGTTGTAATCGAAATACAGGCCACCGCCATCCACAGCGGTGAGTCGCTCGAGGGTCAGCTCCACCAGCCGCCGCCCGCCCACGATGGCCAAGTCGTCATGCAGCTTCGTGATGTTTCCAAGGTTTACAGTGAGCGGGGTTTGGGAATAGCTGAGGAGCAGCTGTCCCCGAAAATCGCGTACGGACCCAAAGTCGATGCTGGCCAGGTCGGAATTGTACGTGAGGTCGAGGTCACCGGTGATAGACTCCAAGCCGGCGCACACAAACTCAGTCAGCTGGTTGTGGCTCATATCGAGGGTGCCCTCAATTTTGGTCAGGTCACCAAAGTCAATGCTGGAAGTGAGGGCGTTGTAGGCCAGGGACAGACCGCCGTTAAGAACAGCGACAAGCCCAACCAGGTGAAGCGCCGTGAGATCGCTCTGTTCCAGCTGAAAGCCCGAGGACAGGACTTGACCTTGTGCAAACTGGATTGTGGTGAGCGGGTTGCCGGAGAGGTCAATTGCGCCACCCAAGTAGCCTGCAGCAGCAAAGTCAACCAAGGTGATGTCGTTGTTCCTCAGATAGACGGTTCCACCAATGTGAGCGATGTTGCCAAATGACAAGGATGTGAGCTTGTTCGACGACAGGAAGATGCTGCCCTCAACTGTTGTCAATTTGCCAAAGTTGATGCTCGTTAGCTGGCCACTCCCGCCCGTGACCGTTCTCACGGATGTCAGCTGGCCGTAGTCGATGGAGGCGAGGGATGGGTTGTGGCCCCAGAACATGTCGCCGTCAACAAGGGACACACTGCCCAGGTCAATTGTCGTGAGGTCGTTGTCGCGTAGGTCAAGGTCACCACCAATGCTGAGGAGATTCTCCAGCGTCAGCGACCGCAGGTTGTTGTTGTGCAGATCAAGCTCACCACCCACAGTCTCCAGCGAGCCGAGGTCGATGGACTTGAGGTTGTTGCAACCGGAGACGCTGAATGCGCTTGTGACGCTGTGCAAGCCGTCGATACGGAGCGAGGTGGCGCGGTTGCCGTTTGCCGCGAAGTTCGCAATGCTAACCTGCCCACCAAAGCGAATGGATGTGAGGGCATTACCGCTGAGTGAAACGGAGCCCGTCACGGAAGTGACCCCGCGCAAGTCGAGCTCGGTGAGCTGGTTGTGGCTCAGGTGGATCCCCCCTGCAATGCTGGTAACACCACCAAAGTCAACGGTCGTGAGCACGTTGTTGTTGAGCAGCAAATTGCCGCCAATGCTGGTGAGGGCCTGAAGGTCAAGCTCAGATAGCCTGTTTCCTTGCAGGTCGACGCTGCCTTCAATGCTCACGAGGTGGGGCAGCAGCACGCGCACGAGGCGGCCGTTTGCGGTCAGGGAGCCGTTCAGCGATGTCAACGCGTTCAAGTTGAGCGTGACGAGGTTGGGGTTGCCCTGCAGGTGCAAGTGGCCCTGGAGCTGCGTCAGTGGGCCCAAGTCGACGATGGTCAGCGCGTTGTCGCGCAGATCGAGGTCTCCACGGATGAGAGCAAGGTTCCCGCCAGGAGAGTTTGTGAACGACGCAAGGCGGTTGTTTTTGAGGGAGAAGCTGCCACCAACTGCGGTGAGATCCGTACTCCAGGCGTAGGTCAACAGGCGATTGTTGTCGACGTTGATGCTGCCGTCGATCGTGGTGATGGTGTTGAGGTTGAGGTGGGTGAGGCGGTTGTTCCTGACGAACACGTCCCCAGCAACATGGGTAAGGGCGGAAAAGTCCAGGGTAGTGATGGCGTTGTTGTCGAGGAAGATACCGCCGATGGACGCGATGTCCAGAAAGTCGACAACGGTCAGGCGATTGTTGGTCAGGTTGAGGATGCCTCGGATGGCTGTGAGGCGACCAAAATCCACGAGCTCGACAACGCCGTCTGGCCCTACGACGTCTTCTTCGATAAGCCGAACGTGCCCAAAGTGAAGGTTTGGCTGCTGCCACGTGATGAGCACGGAGCCGGTGACTTTGCGCAAGTCGTAAAACTCCGTGCAGCAGCAGTTGTCCACCTCAGACGCCTTGGTCAAGTTGTTCTTTCGAAACTGGTTGCGTGTGTACGGGTCCAGGCAATCGAGCCGCATGCCGCTGGGCGATGACGGGGATGAAGAGGAGGACGAGGCCACGGTGGTGACGGCGACAGGCACGCCAACGATGATGGCAAGGCCCAAAACGGCAATCAAAACAGCGAGCAAGAAGCGGCGCTTGCACAGGGGTTGCTCTTTGCCCACAAGCAGGTACTCCATCTCACTTGAATGGTCGTTGTTCACCTCGCTTCCACGATGTGAAGGGGTGGCAGAGGCAGCGGAGGTGCGAGAGGTGGCCGTGATGGCTTGGGCTTGAGCTGGCGTCGCAGTGTTACCGCTCCTCGTCTTCTGGTGCATTTGGTGCATTGACAAGGGAGTTGTGAGAATGTTGTTGGGTTGGGCCCCCGGGGGGAGGGGTTTTGTGCCTTGTGCTTTGTGCTTTGTGTGTGTGTGTGTGTGTGTGTGTGTGTGCTTTGTGCTTTGTGCTTTGTGTGTGTGTGTGTGTGTGTGTGTGTGCTTTGTGCTTTGTGCTTTGTGCTTTGTGTGTGTGTGTGTGTGTGTGCTTTGTGCTTTGTGCTTTGTGTGTGTGTGTGTGTGTGTGCGTGTGTGCGTGTGTGTATGCAGCCGTTTCTGACCTGTGCTTGTTGCTCCGCAGTGTGCACGTGAGTGGTTGTGCCAGGATGGCTTTCGGCATCGGCTGTGCTGAGGTAGCGCAATGCTTGGTCGACTGTGCGGCATGGCACTGGCAATAAAGCACCATCAACCAAGAATTGGTCGTTGTCCTCGCTCCACTGCACAGCGTGCTGCTGCATGACCCCGTGCTTGTCCGGGACTCCCTGCATTCATGGAGATGCGCACAGACCCAAGCCATGTGTGTGTGTGTGTGTGTGTGTGCAGGTGTGTGTAGGTGTAGGTGTGTGTGTGTGTGTGAGTGCTCTGGTCATTCGGGAACATGACCGCAGTTACTCGCACACAGAGGCAGGCGTGGCAGGTAGTATGTGCATGGTGGTTGTGCGTGCTTGTGTTGTGCCTCGTTTGTGAGCGGCTTGTGCGAAGGCGAACAAACACGAACAAACGAACAAACAGGACAGACCAAATTGATGACAGGGGCGCTTGCACCGCTTGCAGCACTGGGTTGCTGTTGTTGTTGGTCTGCGTCTGCAGTCAAGGGTACAGACGAAGAGGGAGTTTGTGTCATGCGCTGTGGTTGCTCTTGCATTTCCACCTCACTAGTTTCCTGTCCATCCTCCAAGTCCCCAGCTTGGACGTATTGGTGTTGGAGGAACTCCGCCATGTTTGGGATCGTTGCATGTGTACGGGCATCAGGTGATGCGTTGGTGTTGTTTGCATTGGTGGCCACGCTGGAAAGGCTGGAAGGTTGCCGTGAGGCGGGTCCTACTCCTTCTGCTGGTTGTGCTGGGGAGTGTGCGGCACGCTGAACGCTAAACGGGGTTTCGGCTGTCTGTGTAGGCGTGTTGTCTGTGTCCTGCAGAGGTGTGTCCGCTGCTGTCCTATCATCGGCAGAACAGGAGCGGTCTGCCGGGCGACGTGGTCCGCCACCGCGTTCATCAGTTCCGTCGTTCATGTTGACTCGCTGCCTGCCGCGAATGAATCGAGGGAGGCGGGCTGCGTGAGCGTGCTGGGGAGTTCTGGCACGTCAATGCAGGCAGTGGCAAGAAGCACAGCAAGGTGTTGTATGAGTTAGGGTGAGCACAGCAAGGTGTTGTATGAGTTAGGGTGAGCGGTGGCAGGGTGGCGGCAGCGAAAAGGCGAGGTTGTTTGTTGGCGCACGGCGTGCCTGATTGGCGCGAAATTTATTGGAAAATTTACACAGCGGTCGACAATTCCCACCATTGCCTGCACGCATGCACGACCCAAGAAAGGGAAAGTGCGTGACATGACATGACATGACTGGATGACTGTTGGGCCAGCCGCGAAAGAAGAAGAGCAAAACGACAGGGCTTGCTTGAGGGAAGAAGCAAAAGCACTTAAGATTTGAGCTTGGGGTGCTTGGTATGATGTTGATGTGAGAAGAAAAGGGAACAGCCGAGCTTGCGTGGACAAGAGGTCTTCGTTGCCTATGCAGTTATGACACAAACATTCGCACACACACACGCGCAATCACGCGTACACGTACACACGCACGCACACACACACACGCAATCACGCGTACACGTACACACGCACACACACGTACACACGTACACACGCACACACACACACACACGCACACACGCACACACACACACACACACACACACACACACACACACACACACTCTCTCTCTCTCTCTCTCTCTCTCCTCTTGGGCTTGGTGCTACCAAGAACACCTTGAGGTCGCTCTCTGACCGCAGCAAGGGCGTCCACCTCTGCCCTGGAACGCGGGGCTTGTCGGTGAAACTTGTTGCTGCCGAGGCTGATGCACGACAGCG